TTTTAATGATTAAATAGTGATAAGTTTAAATCTTATTATTTTTATATATTTAATAAAAAATAAATAAAAAATAATATAAATTTGTGTAAATTTTAAATTAAAATAGCTTTTACTTTAGAATATATATTAAAAAATAATATAAATTATATTTTAAAAATTCATCTAATAGTTTAAGTTTTTTGTTAAAATAATTCCTTGGCACAATAAATAAATATTATTTTTTTAATTTTTTTAATTTATAAATATATCAAAATAATGCAATGATTTTACATTGGTTTAGGTTTAAGACAATCTTTCTAGTATAATGTAATGTTTTTTGTTTTTTAAATAACCCATGCTAGAGGAGAGAAGGTTGCTCTACCATCCACTCATTCGCAAACTGCACCAAGAGGATTCCTTCTGTCTGGGCGATCACTAACTTCCTTGGATTCTTCATCGGCGATACCTGAAACCATGAGCATCTATCTATAGTCTCAGGAAAGTGAAATTGCTCGTAAAAAGAAATTAATAAAGTAAAAAAGTGAAGTAATTAAACAAATTAAAAGGAAAATCTTCTTTCCAGTGTGCTCCTTTTATTTTGGACTTAAGGTTCATGGCAAGGTAATTTATATGACGTGGACCATAGTACACTTATAGTAAATTAAAAATGAATCGATGGGATGGTTGGGTTGGACCCCATGTATACTTGCATGATTATTAAATGGGCTTCCTCCCCCCTTTAATTTTATATTCAAAGAATAAATTTGGTTGCGTTCACTTTTCTTGAATTTCTTATCTTAAAACTCTAAAATCAGTGTTTATAAAAGTTTATTTATCTGACGTGTTAAATTGATATAAAGGGTGTAGCTTGAAATTGTTTGGAAAAAAAAAAGAGCCAGCTAATTTAAAAATATCTTTTATAGTAAAAAAAATATTATATTTTTGTATTAAATACCCATAATCAAAAAATTAGCGCAGTGCTCTTTAAAAAAGCAGAAGAAAGTGGAATGCGGAACATGAAAGAAAACTGAAAATACAGTAGATGCGATGATGTTGAGCACAAAAGAAGCATGGGCAGGACAATTTTAATTCAATATATTGATTTATTTGTTTATATACTTTGAAAGTATTTTTAAATTTTTTTAAATTAATTTTTTTATATCATTTTAATATGCTGATATATTTTGAACAATTAAATTTTTAACTAGATTTTTAATATTTTTATGTCGAGATTTTTAACAATTACATAATTATATATGAATTGAAAAATATAAATAGTAGAATTCAAACCAACAATATCTTCTCCATCTAATTAATTTTTTATTACTTGTTTATCTTCGTCGGTGGAGCTACTAGCTCTTGCAATTTTGGAGGCTATGCGTCACCATTTCGTTGTATAACACTAATAATAATCCTTGCCATATACAACAGTTATGCCGATTAATTCTTAATTAATTATCCTTCTCAATCATCTAATGTCCATGTCAATATGCATTAAAAAACACTAATATATAAATCAATGGACGATAAAATAAAAGTTTATATTAAGAAATATTTATATAGCTAGCTTTTCCATCTCTATCAAAGACCTAACGTCCAGCCTTTATCAACGGTCCACAGAGGGAAACATACACAGCATCAATTAGGTGGCTCTCGTCACGTTCTTGTTCTTTTCATAGTCGGCATATCATACACGTTCCAAAATGTTTTGGTAATACTTAATCCAATGGGAAACTGAAATAACAACAAAGAAAACGAAACAACTCATTCTAAGCATAATTAATGCGACCTATCATCTCACGATACCTCACAGTAACATAGTCAGTGGCTCCATGCATGACAAGAACAGAAATGGATTCATTTAGCGAATTTGAACCTCGATGTAACCCTAATTTTTAGATTTCTCAAAGAAATTTTTAGTCAATATTATACTTTTAATTTGTTGATAAGAATTTTATTGATGTATTCACAAATAAAAATATTTTATCAAAAAAATTCCCGTTGTCGATATTTTATAGTTTGATGATAATAATTTTACCAGTAAATTTATGATTGGCAAAAACATGTTAAAAAAATTTACTTATTTTATGCTGCTAGTATTTTTATTAATAGATATAAACAAAAAATAATAAATTTGATCTTCTTTTATGGACTGATAATTTCTAACCAGCATGGATATTCATCTAATTTTGTTTCTTTTCTTTGTCACAATGTCATGAAAGTTGAAATACTGATTAAAGAGAGTGCAATTAAGTTTATAGATGATATATAGAAATTGCTATCTTCCTCTCTCTCTCCATTTTCTTAGATTTATATGGGATTCCCAATTTGGACAGCATTCCATAATTTGGGCACATCGGATTTTGTCTGATTTCTCCATGAGCTCTTCAAGTCTCTTCATTAAACGGAGAGAAAGAAAAAATGGATGGAGGGAGTCGAGGGATTGATCTTACTCTTATTGAGAAACTACAACGATTTGTAGCACAAATTGGTTCGATGTGCGAGAACTCCTCTAGTACAGGGACTAAAAATGTCAAAAGAAACAAAATAAAATTAGCTTTATGGTAAAATAAAAATAAAAATAAAAATAAAATACAAAGTGATGCTCCAGTGCAAAAACCAAGTTCAGTGTCTCCAGATCAAGCTATCAATGCGTTGTCTTTCTTAATATGCAGAGCAAGCAATCGAAATCATGGAACAAGGGAAGCCATCATTTAAAAAAAAAATATAATTAATTATTATTTTTTTTGCTAGATATTTATGTGGTTAGTGCTCAATCTTCTCATACTACAACTGGAGAATAGGATCTGTGCTGTATGGCAGTGTCTTCTCTGTTCGAGGACAGAGTGAAGCAGGTACCACTATATATAAATTAAGATTTTATGCGCAAATTAGTTTGGTAAATGAGAATATTATTAAAAAAATAAAATAATAATGATGCTCATCTCTTAGAGAAACGACAGAAGAAGCAATTGTTTATGTAAAACCTTATAATAAAGTTTGTTATCCCAAATATAAATAGATTAAGGGTCGCTCCCTCTTTGCGGTTAAATCGTAGTTTAGCAAAAAATTTTAAAATATTTGTTTTAAAATTATTTTAATATACTAATATTAAAAATAAATTTTATAAAATAAAAAGATATATATATTAAACGTAAATATTTTGAAACATAATCTCTATTATAATTTAAAGAGATTATACTTTCAAATAAATGCTAATAACCGAGGAAAATTAGCTACTGTGCATTATAGAGAAGATTTTGTTCCAAGGTGCCATTGGAGTAGCCATTCCCTTGCAATGCCTGGTGTGTTAAAGAAAATCTTGTAATGTTTTAATGTGAAATTAAGAATTTTGGATTTGAAAAAAATACATGAACTAAGGATTTTTTGTGATTTATTTCTTTTTTATTTATAATTTATTTTAAACATTAATATGCTTTGTGGTATTTTTATTAAAGAATAATTTTCGATAAAGTCTTAACCTAAAAAAGTGAGTGAAATCAACATTTAATTTGATCTCAATTTTACTTATTAATCATGTTTTTAAAATAAATTCTAAAAATAATTAAATAAGGATTCAATTAATTAAAAAAAGAGTAAAAATAAAAATTTACCTGCTGAGAGTGTGGAGGAACAGAGAAGTTGTTTTTAATAAATATATTTTTATTCTATTGTCTTAACTGTTTTTATATTTGTAAAGATGATTGAGTCATATTAAATTAATTTTTATACATTTAAATAAAAAATTATTAAAATTTATGTTAGCGTAAAGTTGAATATTGTTTTTAATTAAAAAAATAATTAATTTCACATGCAGCATCGCTCTCATAAATAATATAGCTGGAAGGTTGAACCAATTATACAGTAAGTTAATATGGTTTAATATGGTTGGGCCTATCTTCTATGTTGTAATGCTGGGCCTACTTCCTACAACCGACACGCTCAAGGAGAGTGTTCCTGCGCAAGAAAGAGAAAGGAACAGTTGAAGAAAGAGATAAAGCCTTCTTCATGATTTCAAGAACCAAGCGTGAAGTTGAAGTTGCTTAATCTGCGCCAGCGAAGGTCTTTTCAGCAACACGCTAATGAAGATTTATCACAGTTCATAAGCTCAGCAAAGTCTTTCTATTCACCAATGAATGGCTTGGATCAGTTATTTATGTCCTTTTTTATAGTTAGAGAATGTTGGAGATTATAGTAATAATTGATTTTTTAATTTATTTTGTTTGGATCGATTTTTAATTTTTTTTTTTAACATTATTATATTAAAATAATAATAAAAACATAAAAAAATTAATTTGATAAGAAAAAAATTCAAATTTTAAAAAACTCTAATTAAAATGTTGTCCAAACATATAATTAGTACATGCATAACTATTTTTTTTTGTAAAATTTTTAACTTAATTTATGCTTATATCTCATGACTTCTCTAATATGTCCTTGCATGTTTAAAAAAGGATGTTTGAAAATATAGTAATAATTACTTTTTAAAAATATATTTTTATATAAAAATAAATTAAAATAATAATTTTTTTTTTATTTTTTTTAAAATTATTTTTAATATTAACACATTAAAATAATCTAAAAATATAAAAAATTAAATTTTTATAAAATACCTTCTAAGTGCATCCTCAAACTAGTTTTTTCGCTTTATTCTTATATTCTTATATTTTTGGGTCGGTGTTATCTAACCTATTCTTCCACCTATTCTTCCAGCTGATAATTCATAAAAATAAATAAAAATACCTTCACAATAATCTAATCTGATTATTAACAAAAATAAAAATAAAAAATAAAAAATAAAAAAATACTTAGAGTTAAAACTAGTCCTTATCAACTCTTTTTTATTATATGAAAAAAAAAAACCACAACCACACTTCCAAACACATATAATTTACTAAACTAGAAAACAATCCTATATCCAAAAATAAATTAAAAACATTAGATCTATAAGAACAAATTGAACCTAGCTTTAAATTGTCACCATCTATGACATTCATGTAATCATTGGAGCACCATTTTTCACCAGAACACCCTTTTGATTCATCACCATCAATGTTTTTGGATGGGCAAGCATGGTCCAGGATTCATCATTATCCACTTCAAATATATTTGGAAACGCATGTTCAATATAGAATCAAAGGAAGCATAGGGGCATGTTACAGCAAAATTACTTCATAAAAATTGTGAGAATGGTTTTCAGGTAATAGAAACAGTCGCCTGCAGGTCCTGATCATTTCTCTTGCTGTGGATAGAAGGTCAAAGCGTTTCTTACCCCCAAACAGAATAATGTGCTAATTGGGATTATGGACACCCTAGCCAAATTTAAAGGCCGCCAGCGAGTCCAGAAGCAAAGAAGAGAGAACAAGAACCTTGTTGGACATAACAAATATTCCGAACAAACATAAGCACACAGTCAGTGGTGGACCTGGGATCGTGAATAGAAAGGGTAAAATATTGAAGTATTTTAGGTCATCAAGGGTAAATTTTTATTTTGATGTTCTAGAGTTACAAGTGGATACCGGGTTGACATTCAAACAGCTACATCTGAGTTCATCTCCTTGAGAATCCGACAATATCCATGGCAGTCGGTGGTGTTTTTAAATCCTGGAGTAAAATCTGAAAAGAATCTCAGCACTGCAGCAAGGAGTTGAGAATCATTGGAAGACACAGCTGCTTCAAGAAACAATGATGGCCGGACAGTCACAACCTGGACAATGAATGGACTGTTTTGTCAGGAATGATTGAAATCCTTTCCATCTAATATTTGAGCTTTAAGATAAAATTGCTTAACAATAGCAACTAAAGACATTTTCTCTTTGCTCAATTAAATACACAGCAGGTTTTATTCAGCATAACACAACATCTTCCCCCATGCTTCAACTGGAAACTTAAAAAAAAAAAAGAAAAAAAAAGGAAATAAAGAATACAAAATACTCTCACAATAATTGATTCTCCTCTCACAATAATTGATTCTCCGATCAATAAATGCATGCATGGAGTAAACGCAAAGTAATAGCATGATCATGAAGGCAACAATAGCTGCTGCATCCATATCAAAGTTTTAAAAAACAACTCATTTAGCGAAGCACACTCACATCTATACCTGAAGCTGGTAGTCTAGAATTACCTTGTGCTTCCTAGCATAACGCAAGGCTTCAAGATAATACCCATCTTGAACTAGTAGCAACACGTAGTCATGATGCAAAGAGAGCTGTCTCAGCATATCTAGACCCAGCTTCCTAACCTGGGAATTTTGACGGCCTGATTCTAGGAGCTGCATTGCAACTTCTTTTGAGGGTTCAAGAATCTGTAATGAAACAGTTGCACTCATTAAAAAAGGGTTTAAACATAAAATAGAGAGCTTTCATTACTATTCAAGAGATTTCAATACTTCATAAGCACACTTTTAGATGATGTTTCAAAACCTTGTTTATGATGAACAATGAGAGTTCTGCATATCGCTCATTGCGTGCTAGAAGTTGTATTGTCAGCACATAGATGTTTGGTTGAACTTTAATCTTTTCTGAACTTGCACTGCAACATTGGAAATAAGTCTGTCATTAGATGCGAGCCTGATATACATAAGCAGATATCAAAACGAGCAAAATAAAAAGAAAAACAAAACTACATCAATCTTTCCCAAATACTTTTTCATTTCAGTTCATCTTTCTAGTCACTCGCCTGGGTCAAGTTAAATGATAGGTGCATGAACCATCAAATACACACTTTCAAAAACCCAAGTTCCCCAGTCCATTGGATAAAAGAAAATCACCAAGTTGACTATTTTCTGAACTGGTCCAATTGAGAGATAATTACCCAGTCAGCAATTGTTTCTGCATTCTATAATATAACAACAAACCAGCCTGCATTAGTGTTGAATTTTATTATGCATTTCACTTAATTCTTTTTATATATATTAACAGGAACTCAAACATACTAGACAAGGCACATTATCTTTCTTTCATGCTGTACCTGAAAGGCTGGCTAACACAACTGCAAAACCAGAATGGCTTAAAGTTACCCAGTTCCACATTATGAAGTAGCTTTGCATAAATATACACGCAGTGGTTGATAAGAATATATGTAAGACCCATTTTAATTACATTTGAAACATTGCCGAGCTGTGAGTCAAATATAAAGAATGACATACCTACGAAGAAACTCAACAATGATGGCAACCAAGTAAGATGGGTCCCCCACCATCTCTTCCTCAACTGGAGCAAACAGTAAGCTATACATCTCATCAGTTGAAATTGCTGGAGACGTAAGTTGAGACTCCAGCCTTTCAGAAACACTAGCATTTAATGGACTGTTGCTTGGTCCAAGATTCTGAGATTGTAAAGATGACGGGTGAACTTCAGAGCTAGAACTCTCAGCACCACCTGATAATTTCTCCTTGTTCACTTTCGGGTTTGCTTTTAATGAGTTGAATTGGGTATTGTCCTCAGAGTCCAAAGTTGAGGAGTTTCCAGATCTATTCAGAGATTCATTGTCAACTATGGCACTAGATTGGTGTTTGGTGGATGTTCCATGTGCATCAACTTCTCCTGTAGATACACTGGCACCAGATTGCGGAATACCAATTTGTGTCCCAGCAGAATGTGAGGTTTTCTCTGTTTTTATTCCCTTGAGATAACTGCCTGTCTTGAGTGACATGGAGTAAGACATAAGCAGTATATCTATCGCCTTGGCAACCGTGGACACTGGTCTCCTTTCAAGAATAACATTGCGTGTTATTGCCAAGCACAGCTGCTTGGCCTGAAACACAACAATTAGACCCAGCGAATCAATAAGAAATCATATTTAAGAAAGGCTATTGAATGAATGCAATAAAGCATAAAAAATAAATCCACTTTGAAGTAACTTCTCCTTTAGCTGATTCTCATATATTTTTATTCTTGTCAAAATGACCAGTGGTGGATCCTCATAAAGACAGGAGGGCAGCAGCCTCCCCTAGGATTTTCATTTACTTCAACAGTTTGGTTACAAACATTGAAGTCGCTGTATTTTTCAAATTATTCATGCCAGCCCATGCATCTCCAAATCTATTTGCAATGGGTCCCTTGGTTTCAATTTTACTTTTTCCTTAAAAAGAGTGTTTTCAAAATATTGTTTCCTTTCTCACACACAAGAATAGTGTTTATACAAGATGTTCTATATTAGCTCATCAAAATTAATACAAAAATTTTAAAATTTAAACTGTTGTTTTTTTGAGTTTTGACAAAATTTGTTGTCTAGGATTGACATGGGTAAAATTGACTGCCAATACAAACTACGAACTTGTACTTTAGCCATTCTCTTGCATCCCTAAAATTTTATTGAAGATCCACCATTGAAAATGACTAATTTAGGTTTTGGGTAATTGATTTCATTTTCTTATAAATGACCCTTACAACAATAAAAGAGCATATCAAAATGTAAGAAAGGCATCCACCTTACTAGCTTCCAACTTCCGTCGTTGCAAGAACTCAAGCACTGATGGAGCTTCAGAGCTACTTGCAGAAATTGCCTGCAAGCAAAAGAATCTAATTACAAGATATCATTTATGCGGGGAAATAAAAAGCACTATAGAACAGGTTAAACTTGCCTCCAAGTCTAAATGGATCTTCCATAAAAGCTTATTAGAAACATCACATATAAGGTCGGGAACAAGAAATGTCCAATCATCTCCGTAAATAATTGCTTCAGAATCACTTATGTTGGCCTCTGGAATTTCAATATCTTTTGCAGTAGATCGAGAGGAAGAAGTATTAGACCTGGGGAAACCCCTAAACAGTAGGGGAAGTGGAGCAGAAATGGGTGATCGAGAATCCGCAAATATGTCATAGAGTATTACAACCTTAGCACCCACTTGATGGATTAGAAGTACATTATCAACCACACTAACAGCAACTTTGTTTGAATATATTGGCAAGGAACCCTACAAAAAAGGCACATTACCATTTCAGATTCTAGCAACTGATTTGTGTCTTATTATGTAACAAGTCTAGTATTTAGATGACATGAAGAGGCACAAAATGCTTGGAAAAATTGGGAGTTTCAACAAGTTGGTCATAACTATATGAATGCTATGATCCATGGAAAGGTACTCATGCATTAATCAGGGACCAAAAATCAGGTACAGGAACACTCATTCATGCAACTAACAAGTTACAGATAAGTATGAAGTTCAACTCTGTCAATTAAATAGAGTGCAACAAAGCATGTTCCTCAACTCTACAGTCACCTTCCAAAATTCTACCAGTTCTGTTCTTGAAAAAAGATTAGGTGAGCCTGAGATTCTAATTGTCATTCACAAAAAATCTTCTCACTGCTAAAAACAAATCCAAGCTTACCAGAGACGGGGAAAAGAAAATTAGAGAAAGGAATCACCTGCTGCACAACAGCATCTCGATAAAATCTATAAGAATGAAGTAGCATTGCAACTCTGTCAATTTGCAAGCAGTATATCCTCCCATAACTGACAATGTTGAAAAGTTTTAAAATCAATATAAGCAAACAAATCATTCTTTTCCTGGTGAAAAATATCAATGAACAGGTTATATGTCTTAAGCTACTAGCAATCGGAGTACCAAATAACCTACATGGTTGCAATATAGACATCTTCATCTGCTAGGACAGGCTTGCTGTTAGCCTCAGATTTGGCCATTACCATCTCAAACTTTGGCAAGCGAACAATCCCGGCGGATGAAAGCTGAACAAAATAATAACAAACTTGTCAGATTTTCAGAAGAATCTTCAAGTAAAGAAAGCGATCATAACCATGAAGCAGCTTTAACTGATAGCCATTTCAAAGTGTCAACATTGAATAAGCTCTTCTAATACATGCCCTAAAGAATTGAACAAGTCAACATCTTCTTGACATTCTTTTATAGAAACCATAGCCCATGAAATCAAGGTTTATGCTTGATTTTTTATTTTCCAGAAATGCTATGTATACAGTGCACAGCCCAAAAAAATCCAGCCAATGACCAATTACAATTGAAGCCAATGATGAAAATTTGGCATACCTGGAATCCATTGAAGGTCTTGCATTGCATTCCTGAAGCAAGAAGAACCAATCGACTCTCATGTGTATATACATACCAGCTCACATTCAGTTTCCTTGTCTCTACAACATTAAGTGATTTTGATTCAGCATCACAGGCGAGCAAATCCAGCCCACTGCGATTAAAACTCCAATTTAGTGAAATCAAAAGGGAAGATCTTAACGGCGTATAAAGATAGAACCAAGTCTGGACAAAATCGAATAGAAGTGAGTGCTACTAAAGAAGCTATTGCTAGAGAAACTTTTTATCTCTATCTCTATTTTTTTTATTTTGTTTGAACCAATAGCCATGTGCAAACAGCTCTGTGTCATAAAATGCCCCTAACATTGCATAAATTCCAAATCACACTCAGGGGTCTCCTATATATATGAGAGAGAGAGAGAGAGAGAGAGAGAGAGAGAGAGAGAGAGAGAGAGAGAGAGAGAGAGAGAGAGAGAGAGAGAGAGAGAGAGAGAGAGAGAGAGAGAGAGAGAGAGAGAGAGAGAGAGAGAGAGAGAGAGAGAGAGAGAGAGAGAGAGAGAGAGAGTTCTGCAATGAAGATCTCAATCTTTAGCATATTAGAAAACAGAATTTCCTCGTCTCAGTAGTAACAAACCCATCAAAGGTGTAGATAGCAAGGTATGGAATTTTCTGGTATTATGTTCAGCATGGCTAGATTTCGAATTTGAATCTCACAAAGAAAAATTATGGCTGGAAGTTCAGATAGAACAAAAAAAAATACAAATCCATTTCCTTCTCACAATACCCAAGTTTCAACTGATTCCTTTTTTTTTTCCCTCTCCGAGCAAGAATTGAAGGAAAATAAACATATTGAAGAGTTAACAAATTTAAGACGAACAAAATATATTTTTTTCTTTCATAACCACATTAAACAAAAAGAGGGCATCTTACCTGGTTTTTACTAGTACAAAATCGCACAGTGGACAATCTGTCCAAAAAAACCCCAGTATACTATCTGACTCCGGCTTACACTTGTGACAAAAGTTTTGTCCAGTTTCCCTATGAAAAAACTGTATCTCTAGACTGGATCTCTGGATTGCTATAATCTTTGCATCCAAAGAATACCGTATAGATAGGATAGGCCCTTCACTTATTGAATCAGAGGTAGGTGCAACATGAGGATCAAAGGGTACAGCTTTCCATGAAAAAACCTGAATTACCACAAAAAAAAATCAATTTCAAAACAAATAATCCACAATCATTTAGAATATCATGCCAATGCAAATGAGCTTTGAATAGCTGATTTTAACATCTGATTACCTGATCAGATGTTGGAGAGATCAGTAGCTTATTTCCATCATCATAAAATAAACCCCTTATTCCTGGCACATTACATTGTAAAGGAGGGTGCTGAATATAAACATGCGACAACCCTCCAGACCCACTTGAACTAACACTAAGCTGTGAACTTGATGCTTTCGCAGACATCCCGGACCTAAATTCTTCACCTCTCAAATTCAAGCTACTAAGATTATGCTTGCACTACTAAGATTATGCTTGCACTAGTAAGTGTCTGCCCACAAGGTATCAAAGATATGAGACCCTCAAGCCTTTCCTCTAATCTGCCAAGCAAAAGGATATAAATTTGAGCAGATATTTAAAAAAGAAGCAAAATAGCAAGAATGTTCACTTTCTTCAAAAACTCAAGCTTCATACTGTATTCTGCATGCAATTCTTTAGAGCAAGAAATTCTTTCAAACACATATCACGCTCAATTTCTGGAACCTTTGCCGCAACACATCCCCCGTATTCTTTTGCCTACAATACATATAATCAATCAATATATATATATATATATATATATATATATATATATATTCAATCAAACTAACACTTTACACTTCTTTCACATCTATCAAACATAAGACCAAAGAACACGTCTTTTCCACATTCCACATTTACAGGAACTAAAACAATGCTAAAATATTGATGTAAAGTGAGTATATATATAAAAAATATCCATACTTGATTTCATAAACAAAACAAACCTGGGCAGCACAATTAACTAAGACTCGTCTCAGCGTAGAAGTAGTATTCCTTTCTTTCATCTCCACAAGACTGTAAATATGACATTTTAGCTCAAGAATTTGACCAGATGATTAACGATTCATAAAACCCAAAACAAAATCCGAAGCAGGAGCGAATCCAATAAATCAAAAGGGCATTTCATAGAAAAAGAAAAGCAGAATTGACGAATTCGATTACCAATAATCAGGGAGAAGATGCGAGAAAGTAAGGGAAAATACCTGGAGAGGTAGACATCGAAAGGTATGTAAGAAAATGAAGCGCGGTGGTTTTCATTTATTTATGCTGACTACCATCGTTACAGGCGGGTCGTATGGGCTGAGCACAGTCTTGGACCAACTGAACCGGGCTTACAACTCGTGGTTTTAATTTTCTCTTTAGGGCTAGTAAATTTCATTATTGCATTTGAGATTTTTGGAAATTAAGGAATTGATATCATAATTTTGTTTTTGGGAACTAATAGTATATGATTTTTTGTACCATGAATCAATATTCAATATAGTAAAGTTAATTATAATGTTTCTGAGAATGATGAAAGAAAAATTAATGTGTAGTAAATTATATAAGTTGATGGAAAATATATTTTGCGGTTGAAAAATGTATAATAAAATACATGAAAAAAAAACAGTATATGAGTGCGTATAAAAAACTAGTTTTGCTTTTATAGTTAGTTGCAGAGAAGATTTCCTTACAAAGAAATCAACAAATTTCTAATTCAATTTTATTTCAATTTTAAATATTTAAAGGAACTACCTTGTTGATTGAAGGTATTAGTTTCTCATAATTAAGAGCTCAAGCAATGGAATTGGCTAATTATCTTTACAATATAAATACTATTTCTGAAGATTTAGTCAAACATTTGAACAAGAACTCCCCCTTGCTTGATGTTTACTTCATTTATTTAGATGTCGAGAACTAGTTTCATTGTTCTTTGATGTGTAATGAGTTACTTTTCAGTTTTGTTGATTTTTTAACAATATGAACATAACCGATTTAGGTTTTGAATTAAAAAAATATTAATTTAGTTATTTTTTTAATGTAAACCAAATCAAATAAAAAATATTTACTTCTAGTTTTTATAAGTAAATTTTTTTAGTGTCATCAGATTTTGAGTAGTTAATAATTATATATATACTTGTAGTTTTTAATTTATAAACTAGGTTTTATCCCATCACATTACAAATTATTCTCTTTTTTATTATGAATGCTATTTTTGTTTGAGTATATGTTGCATGACATTGAAAATATAAGTGCTCAGGTTTTAAAAGTGAATCATAAGTTAATTTATTTTGGATTATAATAGTACAGTGATGATGTTGTTGTTCACTCTATAGTCATCAAGCCTTGCCTTGCACTGGAGGTAGAATAATCTTTTTTATATAATTAAAAAGTCATTTAAGAATTGAATAGAGGCAATGAGATGTTTGTTATTTTGTTTAGCATCACGCAAAATTTTCTAAACTTAAATCCATAAGTTTTATCATCTTTCTATTTTTTTAAATAGTTAAATAATACATTTTCTCTTGGAGTAAAAAATTTTATAGCTTTAGTAGTATGGTCTTTACAACTTTTCATATTGTTTTTTTTTTATATAATAATATAGGTGTAAGAGGGGTTATTTAATAATTGACATATATATATATATAAAAGACTTGCATACATTTCATGTTTCTATACCTTTTAGATGGCGTGTAAAACTTTATATAATGGTCATAAGATGGCTTCTAGAGCAATATTAGATTCATCTTGACTCCCTTTTTGTTCAAGTGTGATATATGTTATAAATGTACATTTGATTTGGTACATGCAACTTTTTTTTTTCTCCTTGATTTTCATATAAAAATAAAAGTAGCCATTCACTTTGTTATTTCTTCAGACCATGCTTTTTAATTAATATTTGTTTTATTTGAAATAATTTATAAAATTAGATTTTGTTTTTAATTTCATTCCCTTTTGTTTTATTAGTTTCAACCATCAACATTTATTTTATTAAAGATTGTATTTTGTTATTTTTTATTTTTTTCTATAGGATTTTATAATAATTTTGATAATTATCTAAGTTATTTAGGGCTTTTTATTTAAATTTAGCTTCTTTTAAAAATTTCTTTTCAAAACAAATTAATTTAATTTATTAAATACAAGGATGAGATGTTTTATCTCATGCTATTTTAATTAACTTGCTTTTTGCTTTAATAGCATGCGCAACTTTTTTTATTGTTGACATGTAGCTTTTTATAATGACGTTTGAATCATTTTAATAATTTTTTTTTAGCGGTTGAGCAGTATTCATAGCAAAGCAACGATAAGTCTTTGATAGACTTTTCTTTCTTCTTCTCTTAAGAATGATTCCTTTTTGTTTTTTAATTTGTGTTATTTATAAAGTTTTTTTAAATTATATTATTAAATTAACATGACTTATTAAATCCAGTTAAGTCAATAATTTAGATTTCATATTTTTCTTGTTGTTTTTAAAAAACACTTGCTTCAACTTCATAATTTTTTAATGTTAGGAAAAAGTTTACCCAGCATGCTTATAGCATGATTACCTATTTAGTTATCATTAATTTGAGATAAATTTGGTAAAAAAAGAAGCAAAAACCCTAGTAAAAAATTTAAAAAATTTAAATTCATTATATAAGCATTGTTCTCTCTGCAAAGTGACAAAAACAAATAGTGTTTAGAATTGTGGTTATAATATTTAGATCTCGTAACTAAACCTATGTTGGAGTGGAGTGGAGAATTTTTTGTAAAATCATTGGGGAGAATATTTAGGATTGTTGATGAATACAAATGATTATAGTTTTAGAGTCTATTTATTATTTATTTTTATTTTTCGAAAGCTTTTTTTAAAAAATGATTTTTGTAAATTTTTTTCCCTTCAAATTATATTTTGTTGTGTTTTTAAATTATTTTGATATGATAATATTAAAAATAATTTTTTAAAATAAAAAAATATTATTTAAAAAATATTATTTTGATATATTTTTAAGTAAAAAATATTTTATAAAACAACTGCTATTATAATATTTTACAATATCTTAACATGTTTATATGGAAACAGCACCTCAAAAACTCAACAAACAAGTTTTAGCACTCAGAAACTCAAAATATTTCAATTAACAAAATTCTTTTTATTTTTTATTTTCAAAATTTCAAAAAAATAAAAAAACCTCAAAAATTCACATGTTTCCTCCCTTGCTAATGACAAAACAACAAAAAACTGAACAACACAATCATAAGAGTAACTTAAAGAAGATGGCATTTAAGACCCTATGGATCCATATGTTAGAGATTTCATGAAGGGACATACGGTCCATCAAAAATGGTCCTTGATTTTATTTTTCTGTCCATGCCAGTTTCCAAATGGGCCTCATAGTGACTGCATTTATGGGCCCAATCTGACTGGAATTATAAGGTACTTCCTTGGAAGAAAAAAAAGAATGAAAGGAAGATTGCATCTTAGAAGATTTTTAATTTGTTTAGAAATATAGTTGTAGTTATTTTTTAAAAATATTTTTATATTAAAATATATTAAAATAATTTTTTATTTTTTAAAAATTATTTTTGAGATCAGTACATTGAAATAATTCAAAATATATAAAAAATTTAATTTTTTAAAAACACGATTTATACCACCTTTCTAAACCTTTTTTTTTATATTGTTTAGAAGAAAAATTAACATATAGTCCTTCAATTCTAGGATTGAGCTAGGCTTGCCACTATCTCGTTTAATATGGTATGCTATTTGGCAAATCTTACCATTTCAAGTTGTTAATACTTCCAAAATTAAATAAATTAATTATACAGAAGGTCCCATCCTCTTAACCAAAATAACAACATTTATATAAGTTTTACAATAATTTGATTTGTTTCCTTCTTCTTTTTGCAATTTCTCCTTAATTACTCTATATATCTGGTATCATCTTTTTTCCTTTTTCAATCAAGCATAGGTGTGTTAGTTGTAGTTTGTTTTTGTAGTTGGAAAGTGTTTTTATAAAACAGTATTTATTTTTTATTTTAAATTATTTTTTTATATTTTTAGCTGATATCAAAAATAAATTTTAAATAATAATAATAAAATATGTTATTTTGAAAGCAAAAATTATTTTAAAAAATAACAGCTCCTCAAGATGCATGTCTTAGATGTGTCTATTATGCTTCCTAATTCATTATTCTAACTCTATTAGTCTTCAACTATCTGCTTAACATTTAAATCAGTACTGGATAAGCCTACAGAATTTGGTTCTTCATTCATACAATTAGCACATATCTATTATTTGCAAATTAACTATGAAAATAATGTCAGTTTAGCTGGTTTTTTAAGTATAATTAACATTAATTATAGAATAAAAAATGAATTATAGTTGTCAATGTTAAATCAAGATATCTTGCTACAACTAGTAGACCGATTTTTGCATATAGATTAACATTTTAGATCCTGATTTAGCTTTGCCCAACCCTGTTCTTCCTCTACGTTTATCCTTTGATTAGATTAATTTTTTCTGTTTACCAGTAAATCACAACCACATGCATGTGGGAGCTACCAGGAAGAGAATTCTATTTAGTTTACCACCACTCGGCCACTCCTGTTGCTACTAATACATTCTTGCGTGTTTTGTTTTGAAGAATGATTGTAATTATTTTTAAAATAATTTTTATTTAAAAATATATTAAAATAATATTTTTTTATTTTTTAAAAATTGTTTTTAATATCTATGTATTAAAATGTTATAAAAATATAAAAAATATTAATTTAAACAAATAAAAAAAATTTAATTTTTTTTAAATACAAAAACAGATAAAATCTTAATGAACAAGCATCTTTCACAGACACGGCAACTATTCTGATCTTCATCTACACAAAATGAGCTCCGATTGCCCCCATCCTTCTTAAGACACGAAACTTTGTTTTGCAGGCTATTAACCGAGACCACCTCGTTATCAGCAACGAAAGCCCAGACTTTCTTGAAGAATTTCCCGTGACTTCACAAGGTACATCGTGTGGGGATACGTCTTCCAGATTTAAGTGCATGTTTGTTAAGATTTTCAGTCAAAAGTATTTTTGTATTATTAAGTGTAATAGCGATTATTTTATTTTTAAAGTTTTTTTAAATATATTAAAATAATATTTTTTTAAATTATTTTTATCACTAGCACAACAAAATAATTTCAAATAAAAAATATTAATTTAAAATAAAAATATAAATTTTTTTATAATTTTTCTAAAAACACTTTTAAAATAAAAAATAAGTTATCATAAAAGCTCAAAGATGCCAACAAAGGTTAATAATGATAGAATTTGCTCAACCATATTAGATCATTA